ATCATTTTCAGTTTCACTCATCACAATAACTGTCTCCGAGAAGCAATCTATTATATTTTGTCTAGTTTGAAGATTTTAGTTTTAAAGTGACATTTCTCAACTTTGGAGAACAAAAATTTGCTATACATGCAAATATATCTATGAAGGCAAGGTAGATACGGCAAAGTAGCAACACGATTAAAAAAGCAAACAACAAAAACCCACAGACTCGCAAACCACATTACTAAATGTGGACTTTCTCTCAGAGACACCAAGAAGGGTCTCCACCTGAGGCATGCTGGAAAACATGCACTAGGATGTAGGATAGCCAAGTACATCTTAGAGACTCCTTCACCATTGGTCCCATCACCTGCCCTCACCATCTCCTTTCCACTCCCTTGAATCCAGCCTCATCCTCTTAAGAGGGCTCCATACATTCAGTTTTTGGCAAGAAGCAAGTGACTGCTCGTCAAATCCACTGTGTGAAACATCAAAGGAAGCGAACATGCACCAAGCACATGAGCTAATTGGGACTGGGCTTTGAACAATTGCCACTTCAAAATGGGAAACAAACAAATCTACTGGGATAAACAGCATTCCAGTCTTCATTATAAAAAGGTTGCTCCGTACATAATCAAACTACTATTTACATACTTATTGCTATTAAGAAGAGGTGCAACACTCACCCTAGCTATAAAACCAAAAAGCAGGTTACCAGTGAGACATGCTGCAAATACATTTTACACGTGCACAAGCTAACTACTTAACATGTACCCATGCTCATGGAACTGCTTGAAACAGTGTAAACTGAGAATCAACAGAGAGAACTCATATACCTTGTTTATAACAAGCGGCATTGTCATTGAATCAAATGATGCACTCAACTGAATAGTGACATGTGGTACCAAGTGCAAGACATTGAGGTTACTTACATTTGTAAAAATTGTTTGTGGTTACATACTCTAAAAAAAAAAAAAATAAAGGTAATGTATTGACATGATAAGCCTCAACCCAGTAGAAACCCTGTTGTCTGGGACGGACAGGAAATAACCTCTGTCTGAGTTTCCACATGCCTTCTTGTATTAAAAAACTCCTCACATTAAAAAACAAAAATATAAATAAATAAAAAAATGGTTGTTGGTTTGTTTGGGAGTGATAAACTCAAATACAGACTGACCTCCATGAAAGTTGGCATATCTAATCAAAAGATAAGATAGAATGAACAAAGAGCAAGAGTAAAGGGTGGGGAGGGGGAGGAAAGAGGGAAAAAAGAGAGGATGAGAAAAGGGTGTGAGGGAAGAGAGGGTGGGAAAGGGTGAAAGGGGAAAATAGAGGGAAAAGCAAAAACGAGGGGGGAAGGTTGGAGAGGAGGAGAGAGAAAGAGAGCAGATCAACATCTGCCAGGTTATTGTCTGTATCAATTAAGCAGATAATTTGAAGAATAGATTTCAGTAAGAAAAGAAAAGAAAGAAAAAAAGATGAAAAGGACGGGAAAAAAAAAAAAAAAAATTATTAATAATGTAGTCATAAGAAGGATCAAAAAAACGTTCAACGTTTCAAGAAAATCTTGTGAAAGGTTGAAAAGTTCTCTGTAGTCAGACAGACAAAAGCGTTTGAAAAACAAAACAGAAACTTTTCAGTATCAGGGGGCCCTAAATCATATATTTCCATAAAAATATTGACTTTATTATATTATTTATTTCATTGACCATTCCATTATTTTAACAGCATTATTATACTTTCTCTGAATCAGCCATTCCCAAAATGGTTAATATCAACCCCGTGGTGTCTTGTTCTTAGGAACAAAATTTCAATAAAAAAATTAAGTTCGACTACTGCTGAAAATTGCTTCGCTGCTATGACTACATTTTATTACATACTATTGACTTGTTTATTATTTGTTGCTAATTCAAAATACACAGGATGAGTAAATTCTAGTGGTACAAAACACACAAGTTTGTTCCCTCTATTATTAGCAATTAATAATTTCCTCAGTTTTGGACTCTCAGTCTTGAAACAGGGATCATCACAGGGCCATGCACATTACAGGGCTGTTGTAATATGCATCCCAACTCTGTCAATTCACAAACTTGCTATTTTCTTCCTTTGTAGCTCAAAAATTATATTTTTTCTTTCTGCAATACTTAAAACTATTCCCAAAACTTTGACTCACTTTAAGCAAAACATTCTATAATAAAAAAGAGAATGGTCAAGAAACTGCTGATGAATTTGTTTATCAGCAAAACGGTGTAACAAACATTTGTTCATCTAACCAAGGTTAAGACAATTGCATTTTGTTTTACCATCTGAAATCTCTCACCTGGGTATGTAGGTAGTAACTAATTAAAATGAAAAATATGATTTATCTTGTCTTCACCATCAAAAACATCTTACAAATGAGAAGAAAATATTGCATACATGAACCTCAAAACATTGCAAATTTTAAATAGCTTTTACAAAATGTGTGACCCAAGAAGTTTGAGAAACCCTGCTCTTGACCATGATTCTGAGAAAGGAAAATAATAAATAAATAAATTAGGTTTATAAATATGGAAGTATTATGAATTTCTGTGTTAACAATTGGTTTAACTGAAACTAATAGCGGAAAGTTGAAATATTTGTCAAAATAGTAAATTAATTTTTTTCTTAAAAAGAACTCATCATTAGAACAAAGGCTAGTCCCAAAGCAGAAAATTAGTATTTATAGAAATATGTTAACCCATTAATGGAGTAGAGTAGATTGTAAACATTTTGACATCTAGTGCCGAAGATTACACAAGGCGCAACAATCAAATACTAGCACCACATATAAATATAATATATATATAAAAAGAAAAGGGGAAAAAAAAAAAAAAAAATTTAGGGACTGAGCACAATAATGATCTTATACCCACAAAATTAAAAATGTATTATTGACATTGTTTGTCATGTAGGAGCTTTGTATATAGTTGGTTTGACCAGTTTTCCTCTATAAAAATGAAGCATTATGTCACTATTTTTCTCTTCACAACGCTTTCTAATAAACCATGCAACTTTACCTTGATTTTTCTGTTTCTTTAAAATGTGGCTTAGAGCACTATTACACTGACCCCTTCAATAGTGAAAGAGCTGTAAGAATACATACACAAACCACACAAGCATTTAAACATGCTAAAATAATCAAATCAAAGTTGATCAATTTATTAAAGTAATTTATTAAGGACTTGCCCTTTCTTCTTCTAACTAATCCAGTATGTATTTTCTGACCTCTACAAAGATTTTTAATTCACTCATTTAAAAACAGAGATTGCTGCAAGTAAATCAACAGCAGGGCAAGTCTCACCTGACATCTGGTACATTCACACCAAGAAGGCATTATGGCACAACTGGGTAGTACTATTCTTCCAATAGCTTTTATGGAGCCTGCAACCAGATGATTAAAGTTGAGGAAATCTGGTAAAAAAACAAAACAGAAATGAATCACCCAAGAAACAGAAAAGCACAGAAAGCAACTCAATATATCCATAAATGCAACACATCTGCAAGAAGTATCAAATGAAAAACTAGAATTAAACAGAAAATCTTGAAGAAAGAGGCAAGTTATTGCACAGGAAAACATGCAAGGTTTACAAAACCATTTTATATTTAATTGTTTTATTAATTATGTCATTATTTCTCCATTAGTAAAACATCAGTATTTTACTGTCAATGAGCACAGGCCAATGTAAATCCTAATTATGGACTGTCATTATAAATGGCATTATGCTATGAAGCATTGACCCAACAATGAACCATTTACAGTTTTTTTTTTAAGACATCTGAAACTAATTTTTAGAACATCATTGTATCTTTCAAGAATGTTTCCGTCACACCTCTGACGACAGCTAAACATTCAGTAGAATTAAGAGTTAGGATTTGCAATTGAAGTTTGCAGCTGTGGTCCTACAATATACTATAAATTACCTTAAAGAAAACATTCCCTATGATCTTTTTAATGGAGGTTCTTCATTAAAATAAACATTCCTATTTCTATAAAATTAAGGAATCTGGTGTACTTCCTGGAAATTTGGCATTTATATTCAGAATATAAAAGCTCACGACGTGTGTCAGTAGCATGTTGAGGGAACTTTAGTTCTTCCAGTTTACAATTAGTTTAAGATTGCCGTCATTCCTAATTTGTAACAATTTTATGTTACTGAATGCAGCCCACAATACAAACAATTATATTTTTCATATTACTATGGAGTTAACTATGTCAATACTGCATTTTTTTCCTTCTTCTGAACTTATTGAATGAATGTTGAAAGACTGGAAAGATTTTGGAAGAATGGACAAAAGCAAAGGTAAGATGTTTATTCAATAAAGGAAAAAAGTAAATCAGACAATTATAGAGGAATTACTTTGCTAAATTATTCACACAAGATATATAGGGCCTTCTAAAATTATTAACAAAAGATTAACCACTCTTTCAAATAATAAATTGTTAGATGAAGATTTAGACAAGGAAATCGTGTATCAATTCTTATTCTCTCCATTAACTTGCTTATACAGAACAAAGTAGAATTTAATTAGGAAATGCATATCACTCGCATAGACTATAAGAAAGAATTTGTTAGGTCCAACAACATGCAATATGGAAGATACAGATGCAAGATGTAGTCTATGCAAAATAAAGATTTTCCTACATTTCAGACATTCGAGATGAAGTTTCTGAACCAAATCAAACACTGTACTGTATTAGATAAAATAAAAATTAGGTAATCAGAAAATAATCAGAAGTACTCCCATTAATAAGTAAAAGAATACAGGGCCAGATAGTCCCAAAACCTAAATAAAATGAGTAGCGACTGCATCCCAAAACAAATACACTGTTATAGACCATGTAGTAAAACTATGCCGGCCATCCAAGATTAAGATGGAAAACTCGAGCCAAAACAGGAAACTCTCAACTCCTGAAGGGAAGATTATAATGTTGGCCAACTACACTTACAAATTTGAAGGAAAGTGGACACAAGTGCTAAATAATTCAGTTGTTTAAAGCTTCAGTTACCATTTGAATTACTGTAGTCTAGAGGCAGTAGACCGTGTCCCTGCTATAAACAGGTTGTCTACGCGATTATGATAACTATTTCCATAAACATCCAAAGTCAACAAAACTTTATTTATGACTAATGAGTAAGTACATTAATGACATTTGCTATATTCTTGGTCCCTATATTTTTTAGCTACTGACCTGAGATACATCAAGGATCATATCCACAACAGACTTAAGTGACATAACTGCTGCTTGTTACTACGCTAGTTTCATTTTCCATACCTGCTGTAATGCGTATTTATTCCAAATTTGTCATAATGAGACTGTAATTAAAGATTAGGGTAAATCGTATGATAGATAACCTAGCATGAGATAGCATACGGTTTCGTAATTCGAGAAGTAGGGTACAATTAGATGCCTATGAAAAAGAGGGTAGCACTAAATTAAAATCACCAAACATGAATTTTGTCGAAAAGACTTTGTTAGAACACACGAGCATTCAAGTTTCAGGATGAGCAGCTTTTTTCTGAAGCTCTGTAATTCTAATCTCGGTCAGTTTCATTACGAACAAGGGAATCAACGAGCAAATTCAGCAAATTTTATGGCAAGAAATATCTTAGCCGCATTAACTTAATCTCAATCTACCAAGAGTATTAAGTTTCAACACAAGAAATAATTGCTCGGAAAGAAATTCACGAAGCTTCTTCAAATAAGTATTGCTTCGGTAAAAGGAATTGCTTTGCATGCATTATAAGCGTCTCTTAACAATAAGAAAAACATTTTTATGATACTACAGCTAAAATGTTCACATACTCCAAAACTGGAACTCAAGCAGCTCGCGTCGTATCAGGGCAGGTACACTCAAAGTTATAAAAGGCGGGGCCAAAAAGGCGGGAGCAGAGAGTATACTCTTTGGCTCAGGGCAACCTCGCGACGAACATTCTAGAACTTGCGCTGCTTACAGATCAGTGTTGCCAGCAGAGAGTGAGTGCTCATGCGCATCATAATCTGACTTCAGCCAATGAGCTTTCACAAATTAGTTTGCGTCACAATATCAGCGGGAATTTTAAATGCAGCCAGATACCAAAATATTGTTACAAGTCATTGAAACAATTATATGAGGCATTTCTTTTAAATATTGCATCCTTTATACCTTCGTGTTATTTTTGGTTGATAAACTAAAATTGGTTTACAGGATTGGTCATTGTGGGTAGAGAAACAACTAGTTGTGCCAACGTTTCGAAATCTTTAATTTCATCAGGGCTAGAGTATAAAAATTAACAGGGCATGATGACAACAAATATTTCAATAAATTGATTCATTAATTAATTAAAATTACAAATAAAACAAAAAATGTAAACTAAGATAAATAAATCACCAAAATATAGAAAGTACACACCAATAATCATAAAGGTAGAGTCTTATTCCAAGCCACCACACCTAACTCCACATGAAGTTGCTGAAGCACGTGGGTCCACCGTGCATCAAGTGTGAATCGGGCCAAGATCCTAACCCCAAATGAATGAAGACTGGTTGAATAGAATGAACCCCGCGCTACAGCCACTCCATGCCCCGACACCATGTGTTTCCTGTCAAGTTCATGTTAAATTAGCAATATAACAAGACATTCCGAGGAAAGTTTATGCAAATGTATTAAATCTAGACCCATTTAGAGTCCCACAAGATCTGTATAGCACATCAACACTGATCTCCATGACAAAAAGAAGGATGTAATAGGAGGTATACTTGAAGAGTATACCTCCTACTCATTACCATTATTATACCACGTGCTGCTACGGAATGGCTCAGACTCTCCCGTGTTAGTTTTCTATTTCCTTTGGTCTCGACTAGTTACACGAATTTGCCACATACTCTTGCCAACTGCGATCTATCACCGCCCTAAGTACAAGTAGTAAGTTTTTTATTTTTATTTTTTTTTCAAAAAAATTCTTAACTTTTTGGTTTTCCAATAGTTGAATGAAAAAATTATTTTAAGAATATTAAAGAACAGTAAAATCTCATTCTAAATGGCAATTTTCTTCGAAAAACTTGAAGCCGTTTTTAAGAAATTGGCACTTAAGCGCTACAGTAAATTAAAATTTAAAACACTTTTTTACAGAAAATTTTTGAGTTTTCGAAAAACTTCATTTAAATTCATTTGAAACACTTTAACTCACAAATAAAAAAATGTTTACAAATTGCTAAAAATGGGCATATAAACGGCATGAGAGATCTCCCAAAATATTATTTATGTAATTTTTTAAATAAACAAAAAAAATACTCCGAAACGAAATAGTACAATTAACTAGCCTCTCTAAAAAATAATAAGAAATTGGAGCCGTTTTTGAGAAAATGGCGTTTGGGTGTTTCCGAAAATGCGAACTTTTTGCTAGTTTTGACAGAAAACGGTAGTTTTTGAGAAGCTTTATCTGACATTATTTAAAGCATATGTAAACATAAGCACAATAATTTAAACAAATTGTCGCTAGTGTAAATATTAATGACGTGAGAGACAAGTCAAAAAAATTGTAATCATTGAAAAAAATAAAGCAATATGGCGTTTATGTCGTCTTATAGAATTTAGCACAATCTCTTCCAAAAGTTTAAAGAAAAACATTAAGCCGTTTTTGAGAAAATCTTGTTTTTTTAAATGCTCATATTTCTCGCAATAACACTAGAAAACTACAAATTTTTTCAAAAAACTGTACATGAACTTAATGAATGAACAAATTATGAACAAAAAATTTCATGCTAAGGAAAAGTCTCTATCTTTAATTGTGTAGTTGTAAGAAGACCTCGAAAAAATTCAAACATTTGAAAATTACGAAAATTCAGAGTTAACTGTTAAAATCGGATCTGTGGCACCTTTACCTGACAGTGTTTTATTCTATTTTTTAAAAAGAAATTTAAAGAAAAAAATTGGAGCCATTTTCGAGAAAATTTTGAAAATGCCTCAGGGGCTTCATGTAAAGTACACCAAAAAACTAATGATTTACAAAATCGCACAGCTTCGACTCAGACCAAATGGGCAGAGGATTCTTCACACGCCCATAAACTATGCGTACGCTTTTTTTCAAAACTGAATAAATCTTTGTCGATCAGGCCTGAGTCGAAGCTCTGCGATTTTGAAAAAACATTCATGAACTTTTGAGGGTACTTTACATGAAACTCCAAGGACATTTTCAAAATTTTCTCAAAAATTACTCCAAATTTTGTCTTTAAATTTATGGTGAGAATACAGCCAAATAAATTGATAAATATGGCAAAAGTTTCTTTTTCACTATTAACTCTAAATATTCGATAGTTGCAAAAGTTCGTTTTTTCAGCACTTTCCTACAACTACAATATTGAAGATAGAGATTTTTTCTTCAAATAAAATTAATTCTCAATAATTATTGTATTAAGGTCATGTACATTATTTTGAAAATTTTAGTAGTTTTCACGCAATATGTTCAATATAAAAACATTACAAAACAAGATTTTCTCGAAAACGGCTTCAAATTTTTTCTTTAAGGTTTTGGTAGGGATAATGATAAATGCACACTACGAGGTGACATAAACGCTAAATTGTTTTATTATTTTCTTTCTTCAAAAATTACAAAAATTTAATTTTTTGACATCTCTCTCACGTTCTTAATATTTACATTAGCGGCAATTCTTCTTCTTCTTCTTCTTCTTCTTCTTC